ATATATCATTGCGTTTAAAGTATAATATTACATTTTTAGAGGCACGTCAAAAAACAAATATTACCTTCGGTCCGGATCGGTAAAGTTTTGGGTTAAAAGATAAACACTTTTTTTACACACATATACATATAAATATGTGTGTACATTAAGTATTTTTCATCGACAAAGGCCTAAACAACTGCAAAGGCAAAGTCAGCTAGGAGTCGTTTGGTTTGACTTTTTCTATACGTGCAATAATATTGAGTGTAAAAAGCCAGCACAGCGGGGTCGGGGCATGGCGGTACTCATTTTTATTTTGTAAACAACTGTTTTACAGGCGACGAGTATTCCACGATAGGTATACCGACATAACATTTTATACAAGACGGCTAATTTATGCGGGGTCGTAGCATACTGGGGCTGGAGGAGTCACAGGTCTACAGGATTTACCATCAAGAAATGTACTTAAAAATTGCTGTTTTCTGAAAATTCTGTCTGTAGTATACAACGTATTTTATATTGTATACTATATAATATGATCGTACAAAAAAGCAGTGTACACACCATTGCTTAGCCCATTTTTGTGTGTTATTGTGAATCATTTGGTTTTTTTCATACCGATACGAATTTAAGGTAAATAGACGCGGAAAAAAATATTACTAACTGTGTGTTGTTACAGTAACACACTTTGCCTTTTTTTATGATATACTAGCGCATTTCATACAATGACAATTCAGAGTAAAAAATAAAACCTAATACAATATCAATTGGAAACCCAAGTTTGGGCCTCTGGACAAAGAAGTCTGTAGACGTTAGAAAATAAACGCCAGTACAGTTAGGTCTACAGAAATTATTATAACTGAAAGTGATAAATTCACTATTAAATAAATATTTCAATGCCAATCTGTAATTAGTAGGGTCAAACCTATACAGTTCAAACCAAGCACAGTATAAACCAGCACAGTAAAAAAGTATTACCTATATGTATGAGAATGAGTAGTAGTAAGTGAGTGAGGAAGGGAGGTGTTCACAGATAAAAATACAAATATCGATAAAAGCATTGTACCTAATGACAATTATGTGCTTAAAAATGCATTTTTCGTTTAAGGGTGGATACGATTAGGGTTGATCGTTCGTGCTACACGAATAATCCGGTCCATAGGAAAAAAAGTAATCGTGTCTACAGAAACAAAAAAAAAACACTTCATTATTAAACCAAAAAATAAATAGTGATAAATAATGCATCGCAAAATGTTAAGGCTGGGTCATGCCCACAGTCATTTAGGTACCTACATAAAAGTGTTCTATTTTTATAACTACTTTAAAAAACAATTAGTTCACATTATTTACTTCCTATTAATTCTTCCCCCTTTTCCCTTATTTCAAAATAATTAAATTGTTTATGTATTAAAGTTTGAGAAATTGAGGATATTTTCTGGGCAATTCGAGTTTACTATTTGTGCAATATTATTGAAATATTTAAGAAAAAATAAAAATTACTATAATCTTAGTAGTAATTTACAAAGGGACAAATTCGTACAAAATGTCAATAGTTATAGAATTATTAAGTACAACATCTACTTCATGGTTAATACAACTCATTATGATATCGTTTTTATTTAAAATTATCAACCAACCAAAAATTGGATTCTTCTCACTGTAACCCTGCCTCAACGTTTATAAAATATAATCTACTCATTTCCAAATCATGATAAAATGAAGCAGCTCATTTGAGTTTAGTATAGGGGTAGAATATAATATATAGTGAGGTTAGTAGTAACAATTTTTCTTAATAAAAATAAGTTTGACAACAGTTTTTTTAAGAAAATTGCATGTGTTATAGTTTCAGTCTAGATCTATGCTATCTAATTTTCCGACCAAATTCCCTAAAACTTTTCTTGAAAAAGTGAAATAAAGAAAAAATGTGCATACATTCCAGAGGAAAGGGTTTAAGGGAAACTCTATTTAAGCTGGAACAATTTTCGTTTTCGTCCTTTCGAAAATATACAATACATATACATATATACATATATAATGTACTTTAAGTATACATTAGGGTGGTACTTAAATTTGACATGGCGTTGAAAGGAGAAAAATTGAAATGAACACCTGAAAAGATTAGAGATATGTTTTTCAGTATTTGGAGCCGAAAGACGGCCATCCAACGTCATGTCAAATTTAAGGACCACCTAAGTACACGTACAGGGTGATCCACTTATCGTGAACCACTCTAAATCTCACTGGGTTAATTAGTATTTGAATTTTTTTTTCCTAAATATTTTTATATAATGTGATCTACAATTTTTCACATATTTTTTTTGGTTTTACCTCCCTCTCAAATTAGTTTTTTCGATAGCAACTTTTGATTTTCAAATGGGATGAAAGGTTTTTTTAAAAATTATGGTTCAAAACTAAAAAATACGATTTTCGGTCCAAAAAAATATTTAATTAGCCTAATGCAGTGGTAAGTTATACATTTTTTTTTTTTTTTTTATTAGATAAATTTTTCATTACATATAATTTTTCATTACATTTTAATTACATACATGAAACAGTTTTACAGCTAGATTAATTCAACCCAGAAAGCAAAGCTTGCGGTGGGCTAAATGAGTTACAAAACATATTACGAGAAAACAATTACATTTTACACGTTGACATATATCACTAAAACTAATACAACTTTATTAATATATAAAGATTTTAAATTGGAGCCACTTCAGCACATTAATTCTCGTTACCAACGACGATGGGGCTCACTTTTTTAGTTAACGTATATTTCGTACAGGTAGTCGGCATTCGAACACTTGGACGTCCGAAAGTAGGAGATAAGACGAATGATACATTATGTAGCTGTACCTCTTCTTATTTCACATATAACAATGATTGCTGATTGGTAAACATTTTTACTAATCATCAACTGATATTATGATGATACATGCATTGTCGTTGACGGTTAACCTTAAAAGTTAACACTCGAATAACCGTGTGGTGTACTATTTTTTTTTATTTTCAAAATTAAGCATAACTCAGTACATTTTATCAGGACACGCGGTTCTAACTACTGGCGTTTAGAAGCGTATGAAAAGACTTTCGAGATTGATTATAGCTATAGTCAAGTTTTGACTTATAAAATTAAAAAAAAGTCGCGTTTCCTTAATATTCCAAAGGTTTGTTCTAGAATGGGGCTATAACGGTTCACAGACAATTTTGTGTAAACTTTTAGTGGTCCCAGTAAGTTTTGAGAGCTCAAGAGAGATCACATTCAATCGGCTCGGTACAACACAAGTCCCCGCCCCAATTGTAATGGCCAATAATCCCTTTGCTAATATCCGTCGATAGCCATACTTAAGGTTAGGCTACTATTTTTGATTTTTACGGACTATTAATGTTGTAAGGTTGTAAAGTAATTAAATATCTATGTGCGAAAATCGTATGTAAATAGTACATTCGATTCGATAACATTTTCAAGTTTTCATTATTTGTGCTACGACCTCCGAATTTCCAACGTAAAAAGTAACACTAAGATACAAAAAAAAAAAAAAAAATGAGAAATTCAAACATTGACAATTTTATATTATTATGTTTTTGTCGTTAGACCGACGTATTTTTTTCGGTTTAAAATGTATGAATATTTATCGGTGGCGAAAAAAATGTACTGTACAACATTCTCATGTGTGCACAAGTGCCATCAACAAAATTGCACATGGAAAACCCCGAAATTTCGACAACCCCTCTCCACCTCACGTGTAGAAAAAAAAAATATCGATACCTAAGCCTTACCGGTGTATCTTAAAATATAACGCATTGACTTTTTAACTTTGTTAATTGAATTGTATGTAATTTATTGGAGACAAAGGCCTTGCACGCAGAGCGGATTAAAGAGGGGACTATGTGGTCTAAAGCCTCTCCCTCGAGTACTTGAATTGTGTAAATTAAAAGTGAATTTTTTGAAAATATTAGAATACATTTGAAGTGACATTTTTTTCAAACCCCCCCCCCCTTTCTTTCAATCCTGCCCCGGCTTGCACGTAGCTATGTGTCTTGGGTGGTGAAATAACCATAATTAATAAAGATATTTTAACAATAAAATGCAAGTCAAATACACGAATCATTAATGATTAGACATAACAAGGGTGTTTGAAATAATTACTAAGGTAATAATGATTAAGGCATAACATCGAGGTTATGCCTTGCATGAAATAAAATAGTTGAAAAATTTAAATACAAAAAACGGTTTACATTATAACAGCCATTGTTGAAACCTTGTGATTAGACGAGGCCCCTACACAGTATTTGTTGTTACTTATGAAATGGCAATAGCTGAACGTAAAGGTGGTATATTATGTACCTAAAACAATAATGTAGTGCGAACTTACAAGAAAATAGGTCAAACGTTAAAAAAACGAGTACATTTCTTGTACTTACACTTGCTTTCCAACAAAGAAACCCATAGTAAATATTATACTATTGCAAATAAGTATCGACCTAGTTGTTTTTGTTGAAGTCTCCACGGTCAAAAGGATTTTGATTATTATAATATTGCGGGACAATTTTGGTGGGATACAACAGGGGGCTATGGGATCCAAGAAGGATTTTCCCTATTTGGATACGAGCTCGTTGTACTGTGTAAACTCAAACCATATGGCATATAATTTTGATTACCACCTTTAACCCACCTTTACATTCAACCCACTTTCGTGGCAGTAGCCAGTGAGCGCTGACCATGTTCCTCGCATTGTCGCTGCCCGACGCTCCCTCCAAGGGCTGTTTTTTTGGCACCGCGAGCAACGGTCTAACCGGTTAATGTAAACAATAACCAATGTAAACACTCACTGCTTAAAAAACAACTTGTTTTCGAAAAAAGAAACCCATAGTAAATATTATCCTATTGCAAATAAGTAATACAGAAAAATAAAAAGGCCTAAATAAACACATTTTTTAGGCGTTTAGTGACTTGCTTAGTGTACTATATAATGGGGTAAAAATGCGATACGGTCATTACATACTGAGTTCTACTTCAAAGAACTTTCAACACTTTCAACAGTCATTATAAAAAATTTCACGAAAAAATGAACACGACATTTTTGTTTGTTTTCGGTTTAACGCTTTGCTTTGCCACACAAAAAGCGTCCGGAGTGGATGAAGCCCTGGTAATCATTATTTAACAATAATTTCAATAATATTTAAATTTAATTACATTATTATTTAAAGTAATACATAATATGCTAAACGGTAAACATATTTTTTTTGGTATTAAATTATAAATTTATTGATTAATTATAAGTATAATTTCGTATTTACAATGTTATATAGGTAACAGTGTAGGTCAAAAAATACTAATCGGAGAATAATTTAATACACATTATTTTTAAAAACAGTTTATATTATTAAAATAAAAAATGTACGTAAAAATCAAATCTTAAAAACTAAAATGTAATTTATTAAAAAATATAGATTTACAAAAGTATTATATTATAAGAACATAAGACATCTTAAATACATTTTACTTGCCTACAGGAGAATTCTTTAATTTAAAAATAAATAAATTTTTTTGAAGAAATAAAAAATAGAAAATTATTTTAATTATCTTTCAATTTACATTCAACGAAAATTAAAAAATTTTATTTAAATTTAAAAAAAATACATTAAAAGAAATTTAAATAATAAAATTTAATGAATATATATTTTTTTTAATTATTAAAAATTAAATGTTAATTAGACACTTAAATACAAATGTATTTAAGTATAATATTTTTTTAATTTTTATACTTTATAAAGATGTAATAATAATTATTTTTAAATAATGTATAATATGATAAATGTTTAACTTATATACTAATAACAACGTTGATACAATTTTAGGCAGTATGGAAAATGATTTTATCTACGACAGGTTCAGCAGAAATTTTGGGTATGGATGAAGCTACATTAAAAAACCAAAAGGTTAACAAACAAGCGTTCTACAATATGACCAAGATAAAACCAGGTAAGTTGTAAAATGTCTTTTTTTCAAACGATGTGTTTCATTTAGAATCGAATTAATCAGCATAGTATTTTACGGTTTATATTATTTGAAAATATCTTAACAAGTTACATATAAACACTCATTGTGAAACGACTGTTTGTTGTTAGTTAAATTATTTTGTGATAACACAATTAAAATATCAAAAATCATAAGCGCAATTGTATGGCAACGAAGGGTTACAAATTTATTGTGTAATAATTATTATATTTTTACGTTTATTTAGAAGTGGACCCAGTTACATATGACGCTTATGAACTCATAGTAGGTCAATATAAGCTCGCGGTGATAAAAGAAAGTATGAGCCAAAACACTACGGGAGGCATGTCCGGTCGATGAAGAGTATGACACTATTATACACGTATTTAATGTGACATATTATAAAATATGTATTTTAAAAAATATATATACATCTATATTACAAGCATAATCCGTGTATTTTTATCAAATCTGGTGCAATGCATCGTCAGTTTTTCATTTTCTATACAAGTTACCTTCTACTAAATGCACGGTCAAACAACCTAATGTAGTGGTGTGTGAGTGTGTCGGTTTTAATTTTTAAACATTATTTAATAACTAATAAAATTACTTATTCTAAACATGTAACGGCAAGCCGTAAAGATCATTCTTGATTGTACACATTTGAACGTTTAAACGGCGATTTTTTAAAACTATACAGCTTACAGCTGTATTATAAAACTAACGGAGTGAAATTTCCTCGTTTCATGTAGTTCTTAGGGTAAATGTATCAAATAAATCTAACTTAAATACAAAGTATAACCTAAATTTGTGACTGAATCTGTGTGGTATTAGTAGGCAGTAAACGTAGATATTTTAAGTAATTAATAATTACATGCTTTTGTTAAATTATAAAATGTTGGTACCGCTTGGGCGTCATTAAACTTTTAATTTTCATGAGAGTTATTTTAATTTGCAAATAGTTTCATGATAATATTTAACTTGACGCTGATTTAAAGACTAGGTATTTTTCTTTATTTCATGATTTTTTTTTTTATATGTCTAAACCACGATATCACCTAAAACCACACCACCAGTTTCTTCATGTTGCATTGTCTATAGAGAAAAAAATAATGCATGAAAGGTATTTTATTGATAAAAAAAATATTATAAGTAGTTCTTTCCAGTTCTTTGATCGCATCGAACGACGCAAGTCTAAGAGTATTTCCGTTTTTTTAATAAAATAATAAAAAAATACATCAAACGAGTATTCGTTACTCCTACCAAGATTCTTTCAGATATCAATGGGTATTTTAACATTACTGCGAACTGACCTTGGTCGTGAATAGGTCCGGCAAAGACTCGTTAATTTGCAAAGCTTACAAAGTTTGTACTTGATCAAAAAAGGAACACATTATATCTTAACTACACAATGGCAAGCAAACATATTAGAAAACTTATAGTTTCCAGTTTTCTTAAGGTATTATAACGTGAACTATGTATATACAACCTCTTTTTTATAAAAAAACACATTTTCGTAGAATACCTGTAAAAAGTCTGGTTTTCATATACGTTTCATCGATTAGAATTTATAATTTTTTAAACCTTGAATTTTCCGAGAAAAAAAATTCGAAAAAATGTACAAACAAGACAGCTAACGGCCAAAGTTGCCACACTGTAATTATTTTCTAGCTTTAATCCAGAGCAGAGATACCTATTGGTTTATTACTATGGTGTGGGTTTTTTTTTGCCTGTATACACTGTCACTTTTTTAATCATGAAATCACAAATTTCATCTAGTTGGTACTTTGGGGAGGGGGGTGGGGTAAACGTTGAAAAAGATATATAGTAATAAGCAATGTACATTTTAGATTCCAAGTGGAGCTTAGAAGATACTTAATTTCATCGACGCGTTTTTTTCCTTTTATGATTTTTGGTTTTCATGAAGTACACAGAATATTGAACTTAATTCGAAATTAGCTTACCAACAGAAAGTTTGAAAATTTCCCAAAGCATGCGTGTTCAAAATATTTCATGAAAAAGGGTTCTATTTTAATAATATGTTAACATTATAAAAAGTGACTAGTTACAAAAAAAAATCACTGGTTTTGATCACGGATTTGAACCGTGGACTGATTTACTTGGATTGGGTAATAACACTTAAAAGTAATACAATAAATACTAACAAAATATAAGAGCAAAATAGTTTATTAATCAATCAAATCTACGTTTGTATGTGAATATGTGTTTATTACATATATGCAATAATTCGAGAACAGTTATTATAATCAAACTATGAAGGGAAAAATTTTTGCATGACAATGCGTTCAATTTGTGCCGCGTTGTATCTAGCTCCTGAAAGTATAAAATTGTATACATTTTATAAACAAATGAATCAGGCCAAATGAGTTGACAGTAACAATGTTACACTAAAAATACATCTTTGTTTCAATTAATTGTAGAATAGTAATGCAATATTAGTTATATTCATATGTATATAACATTTTGCAAAATTTTTATTTGTACATTATCATTATTATTTTAATTTGTTTTTTATTTTTAGAAATGTTGAATTTTAGTTTAAATAATTAAACAATTTACATCTATATACATGACAAATTTTCTTTTAAATATGTTTCTGCAATAGTTTTTGCACATATTGTTTGACACAAATAATTGAATATTATTCTATTTTGATATTACTTGTATATGTCTTCCTGCATTCTTCAACCAAAAAGAATTTCATCGGTTTTTTCCATATGTGTTTTACATTCAAGAATATATTTTTAAACTCTTCATATTCTTTTACATCACGATCATTATATTTCTGGATCTCTGTTTCTATTGTTGCCTATTGTTATATGAGTAATAATTAGGAATTAAATAGTGTATTACAAATTACAAAGGTATAAGATATAATACATGGCTTGAGGTTTTTATATGCATAAAAATAGCAATATTATAGTAGTTATTTTATTATATAAATACTCACTTTGATGTGAAAATGAGGAAGGTAAAAATATAAGATTAAGTTATTAAACTATAATTTACATTATTTATATAATAAAATATATCTGAGAATTTTTAACAATAATAAATACTAATACTTGTTAGTGCTATAAGAATTTAACCTATTATACACAGATGAATTGAAAGTTTGAATATTTTGGATATCTTCACAAAAACAACCTAACAAGCCTTTTATTTATAATTTTATAGTTTTTATTTACATTTAATCCCGGTTCTTTTATAGCAGCAAACGCTCGGACAACGATTAAAACTTCCTGCTTATTAAATCTATTGGCTGAAAGTACAAAAAATTTAACATTTTTAAACAAACGAATCAGGTCCAATGAGTTGAGAATAGCTATGTGTTAAACCAGAAAATCATCTTTATTATAAATATAGTCCCGTTTTCTTAATTTTTTAATAGGTTTATTAGTTACGACCTCTTAGTTTACAAAAAAATATAAATTTTTAAAGTTATAAAAATGACATACTTGATTGTTAATATGTTTTTCAATAATTTTTTAATATTATACTTAACTTATTTATTTTATATTTTTAATTACCTAATTCTGATGCTCTCCTTTTAAATACATCTATACTGTCGAAATCTTCAGGTCGCTCGGCTAATTTCATACATATAGCTCTTACTTGATTAAAGTCTAGCTCTTCAACTTTTCCCATTTCTCTTGCTACCATGTCTATAACCAACTTCTATAATTTTTAGAATAAGAATATTTAATTATAAAATGTATATTATAATTATTAACCCATAAAACTAAGCCTATTTTAGCGAAATCAAAACGCTTCAAATTTATTTAATTCGATTATTTTAATCATGGGCAACACTTTATAAGTATTTTCAATTTTTTTATTTACTCTTGTTTTTCATAATTTTTTTTGTATAGTATTTTTATATAAACCATAAAATATTTTTATTAAAAATCTGCTTTTTATGTCAAATAGTCTTGATTAATTTTCATTTTTTTCCAGAACAGAAAAACATTTAAATTTAGTTTTTAATCTAAAAAAAAATCAGTTTTATGTGTAAAAATTAGATGATTATTCGTTTTTTTTGGTAGAACAACTTTTAAGGTTATAAACTTGAATTTAAAGTTTTTATGTTACTGGAAAAAAAAATAGAAAAGAATAGTATTATAAATCTGCATAAAAAAATCCTTTTATCTGGTATATAGTAGTAAAGTTTTTATTACATTTAACTTTGGTGTTGCTTCAGTTGAGAACGATAGGAGGCCAATATGAACTTGGTCATTTGAATATTCATAATCTGAAAGTACATTTTATTATACATTATTCAAAATAAAATACTCGATTATTAAAATGTTTTTTTTCAAAATTTTCTGATAATTTTTTAAATTATCAACATTACTCAACATTTTTTAATCAACATTTTTGTATTGTTTACTTATAGTCAGTTCTTCCGCACTGGGTACCTCAATCTCTTCCTCAAATATAAATGATATATTGTACAATATCTCCCTTAATCGAGCAAAATCCATTCGGCCGTCTTTGTCCAAGTTTGCCTTGATAAAGTCTCTAATCCCTGTCTATAATTTTCAGAACAAGCGTAAAAGTATATTCAGTATAAGTATAATTCATTGAAATGAGCTCTTCGTTTAAGATTTTTTATTCGGTAATTGTTTTATTCTACAAAATCTAAGATGCTTTTTTCGAACAACTAAATTATCCAAAAAATTATTTTATTCTAACACTTTTTATATTAAAAATTGCACTACGAATTTGTTTAGTTATGTTAATAATAAGATAAAATAAACTAAGAAAAAATAAATAGTAAAAAAAAACTCGGAATAAATCATATAATCAGTTATTTTTTTATTTGAATAATAAATATCCGAATTAAAACTATACACCAGCCATTCAAAAAATTATTCGACGATTATTCGAATAAAACAATTATTTAAATAATTATTTAGATAAAAAAATGTCTAAATAATGCCCGTCTCTGTATATAGTTCAACAAGAATCTCAACGTTATATTTCGATCATAAGTAATAGTAAGTGCTCGTTTACTTACAAGTTGTTTTTCAGTTGGTGGGGCACCCTGACATTGAAAAAAGCATAACGTCACGCAGAAAAACAGTATATTTTTCAAATGCATGTTAATATATATAAAAAAAACTCAGTTTCCGATTATAGCTTTTGAAAATAAAAACTGTTTCGAAACTATTCGATAATAGTACTTATGAAGATTTTTTAAAGTAATATGAGTATTATAATACTGATTGGTGACTGTGATTGAAATATTATGAAATAGTGCAGTACGTTCTATAAGAAAACGTACTTTAGGAATGAACACAGTTTCAAGTTTGCCACTGTTGAATTATGGCATTCTCAGTAACAACAGATATTCAAGAACGTTTTTATTTGCGTTGTATGTCATTTTTTATACACTCACTCTTTTTTTTAAAAGTACTTACTACATTTAATTTATAACTGTTTACTTATGTGCAAAATATATGCAAAAATTGTCAACGTTCTTTGATAGTGGCCTATCTAAAGAATATTTCATACAATTTACCAGTGTTTTGTTTGGACTACGCTGGGTTTTTTACACGTATAACTCATTATTTCCCATGGCTTTTGCAATTATTACAAGCAGACTGGTACATCATTCAAATAAAACGTTATCTAGATAATACATTATTCAAGTAATTGCCACTCGACTAATGTAGGATTTGAGTAGATTTGTTTAAATATTATTCGAAAAAGAATTTTCCACAACTCTGATGACAAGATCAACGTATAAAAGCTTCGAATCTAAAAATACCAAATATATCCAACAAAAACCTAGTACAGGGAGGGGGGGTGTCGGAGAATAGTGATATGAAAGTAATTTTTTAGCATTAGGGTGGATACGATTAGGGTTGATCGTCTGTCTATAAAAATGTATTGCCATAGTTACCCATGTATCGTAGTTAATAATATAACGAAAAATATTTCCATTATCTGTTGGCTGTTGAATCACTCAAACATAGTGTAACGTGTCTGTTTGGCTAGTTGACTAGGCTAGGCCCAAACGACAGTCGATAGTGTTTAATTAGTAGTCCCGAAGATGGGACGGATAGCTAAGCCGTATCTACACATAAATATTCCTAAAGTCTTTTTTATTTGTTTGTTGGTGGCCTGAGGAGCTTAACAGGTACTCTAAATAGCTCAAATCTCGATTGCACAACGAAAAGGAAACAGGTTTATTAAATAATTAAATATATGTATTACACCTCTACCTGTATCCTAAAGCGATATCTGTAGTAAGTGCAGGTAATGACAGAATCGAATCGATGCCCCTTGCTGCTTATCCCGTGTGTCTGTTGTCTCCCCTACTATAATGGCTTACATGCTAATCGGCTTTACCCTGCTAATAATGCATATTTGGAGGCGAGTCGTTAAGGACGGCTAAATGTGACCGTTACCTGGAAATTGACTAAGGTCCAAGTGTCATTTCTCAGATTTTTTTTTTGAGGGAGGGAGGCAGGGTTCTTAATAAAAAAACAAAATTGATTGACTGCAAATTTTTGAATATGATATATTATGTAGTTTTATTCTAGGTCTACCTTCGGTCTAATTTTCAAAAGTAATTCTGTTGGAGTTTGAGTGTTGAGTGGATTCAGACAAAATAAGAATTAACACAAGTTGTACCTTTTTTTTTTTGTCTTACGACAATAGTAATAATGATTAAGTAATATTTCACTTCGACTAATACATAAAGTAATAAATGAAGACTTGTTATACACAGTTAGTTTACTTGAACATTATGTGAGCGAATAAGATATCCCCCGATCTCCCTTTTATATAAGACCAAAAAAATATTCTAGAACAAAAACTGTACACAATGCAATACTACTATTGACGGCAATTTACACGCGAATTACTATAATAACAAATGATTGGCTAATATATAAATCACGCCATAATATTTGGTTTATTAGGAAAACAAGTTTATCTAAACAATATTAATAAGCACTTACATTCTAAGAAGAATATACTATAAATTATTCCTTGAATATTTCAACAGAGTGTATAACAATTTCACGAAGCATGCTAATTCAAAATGTTTCCTAAAAAAGTGTTCTGAAAAAGGGTTCTGTTTAAATAATATTTTTACGTTAAAAAAAGTGACTAGTTACAAAAAAAAAAGTCACAGGTTTTGTCCACGGGCTTGAACCGTAGACTGATTTTCTGGAATTGGGTAATAACACTAAAAAGTAATACAATAAATACTAACAAAATATAAGAGCAAAATAGTTTATTAATCGATCAAGTCTACATTTGTATGTGAATATGTGTTTATTACATATATGCAGTAGTTCGAGAACAGTTATTTTAATCAAACTATGAAGAAAAAAATTTTTGCATAACAATGCGTTCAACTTGTGCCGCGTTGAATCTATCTTCTGAAAGTATAAAATTGTATACATTTTATAAACAAACAAATCAGGCCAAATGAGTTGAGAATAACAATGTTACACTAAAAATACATCTTTGTTTCAATTAATTGTAGAATAATAATGCAATATTAGTTATATTCATATGTATATAACATTTTGCTAAATCTTTATTTGTACATTATCAAAAAAGGTAGTTTAAATAATTTTTTTTAATTAAATGATTTACAATTACATAAATGGCAAATTTTGTTTTAAATGTGTTTTTGCAATAGTTTTTGCACATATTACTCGACACAAAAAATTAAATATTATTCTATTGTCATATTACTTTTATATCCCTCCTTGCATTCTTCTTCCGAAAAGAATTCCATGGGTAATTTCGATATCTGTTTTACATTCAAGAATATTTTTTTGAATTCTTCATATATTTTTACATCACGATCATTATATCTCTGGATCTCTCTTTTTATTATTGTCTATTGTTATATGAGTAAAATTAGGAATTAAATAGTGTATTACAATTTACAAAGATATAAGATATAATATAAGGCTTGCGGTTTTATATGCATAAAAATAGCAATTTTATAGTAGTCATTTTATTATATAAATACTCACTTTGATGTGAAAATGAGGAAGGTAAAAATATAAGATTAAGTTATTAAACTATAATTTACATTTTTTATATAATAACATTAATCTGAGAATTTTTAATAATAATAAATACTAATACTTGTTAGAGTTACAAGAATTAAACCTGTTTTACATAGAAGAAGTGAAAGTTTGAATATTTTGAATATCTTCACAAAAACAACCTATCAAGCCTTTTGTTTGTAATATTATAGTTTTTATTTACATTTAATCCCGGTTCTTTTGTAGCAGCAAACGCTCGGGCTAAGATTAAAACTTCCTTCTTATTAAATGTATTGTCTGAAAGTACAACAAATTCAATATTTTTAAACAAACGAATCAGACCAAATGAGTTGAGAATAACTATGTGTTAAACTAGAAAAATCATTTTTATTATAAATATCGTCCCGTTTTCTAATATTTTTTTTAGGTTTATTAGTTACGACCTCTTAGTTTATATAAAGTTATAAAAATGACATACTTGATTGTTAATATGTCTTTTCAATAATTTTTTAATATTATACTCAACTTATTGAATATTTTTATATTTTTAATTACTTAATTCTAATTCTTTTTCAAGTACATCTATACTGTCAAAATCTTCAGGTATTTCGATTAGCATTGCTAATTTTTTACATATAGCTTTTACTTGATAAGAGTCTAGCTCTTCATCTTCCCCCATATTTCTTGCTACCATGTCTGTAACCAAATCCTATAATTTTTTTAATAAGAATATTCAATTATAAAATGTATATTAAAATAAACACATAAAACTAAGCCTTTTTTAGCGAAATCAAAACGATTCAAATTTATTTTATTTTTATTTCGACTATTTTGGTCATGGTCAAAACTTTATAAGTACTTTTAGTTTTTTTCTTTCCTCTTCTTTTTCAAACTTTTTTTTATAGTACTTTTATATTAACTATCAAAAATCTGTTTTTTATGTCTAATAGTCTTAAAATTTAAAAAAAAATTATTCATTTTTTCCAGTACCTAACAGAAAATAATATAAATTTAGTTTTTTATCTCAAAAAATAGTTTTATGTGTCTAAAATTAGATGATATTTCGTTCTTTTGATAAAACAACTTTTTAGATTATAAACTTAAGTTTAATGATTTTCTGTTACTGGAAAAAAATTATATATATATTTTTTAGAAAGATGATACTATAAAAAAACAATAAAAAAGAATAGTAATAAAAAAACTAAAAATATGATCATTGCCAAATAACGTGAAAAAAAATTGTAATTTTATCATAACAGGTGTGCAAATAAGTTTGATTTAAGGAACAAATAAGGGAAAAAATGTTTTATTTAAATTCTCTTTTTCCATGTTTTTTTTTATGTGTAAAAATCCAGTAACAAAATCTTTTACTTTAAAAATTCTATCGTTTTACTGTTGGGGAGAATGTATATATCTTATGGTTTAACCATATCGTTCGAGACCCAAAATGATAAAAAAAATTGAAAAACTAAGTAGAAAAAAAATCACTTCCGAGTGAAAATTAGTACGGTAAAAACATAAAATTAAATTAATAAAATATAATTTAAATTTTGTTCACAATATTTTAAATCTGCATAAAAAAAGGCTTTTATCTGTAATATAGTGATTAAGTTTTTATTTACATTTAACATTGGCGTTGCTTCGGTGGAGAGCGATAGGAGGCAAATATGAATTTGGTCATTTGAATATTCATAATCTGAAAGTACATATAATTATACATTGTTTAAATAACCAAATTAGGCAAATTTAACAGCAAAGCAATCGAGAGTATTATCGTGTTGCAATTGCAAAACATTTGTAGTTCGAGTTATTGAAATTTAAGAATAATGACGTCACAAAACATTATATATTATCAGTAAAATGTATTAATAAACGTCCTACTTTTTTTTTTGTACATCATAAAAAAAGGTTTATTAATCTTTTCATTTGGTTTACAAGTTATGATTTTTTGGTTTAAAAATACTCGATTATTAAAATGTTTTTTTTCAAAATTTTCTGATAATTTACTCAACATTTTTTAATCAAAATTTTTGTATTGTTTATTACCTATAGTCAATTCTTCCGCACTGGGTACCTCAATCTCTTCGTCGAACATATATGTTACTAAACACAATAACTCCCTTAATCGAGCAAAATCCATTCGGCGGTCTACGTCCAAATTTACCTTGATTAAGTCTCTAATCCCTTTCTATAATTTTTAGAACAAGTGTAAAGGTATATTCAGTGTAAGTATATTTCATTGAAATGATCTCTTTGTTTAAAATTATTTATTCGGTAATTTATTCGGTATTCTACAAAATCTAAGATGATTTTTTCGGAATAACTATATTATCCAAATAATTATTTTATTCTAAAACTTTTTATATTAAAAATTGCAATACAAATTTGTTTTATTATGTTAGCAATAAAAAAAATAACCTAAGAAAAAATAAATAATAAAAAAAAACTCAGATAAAAGCATATAATTATTTAGGTATTTTTTTATTTGAATAATAAATATCCGAATTAAAAATTATAAACCAGTCATTCAAAAAATTATTCGACGAGTATTCGAATAAAAAAATTATTTAAATAATTATTTAGAAAAAAAAATTTCTAAATAATGCCGATCTCTGTATATAGTTAAACAAGAATCTCAACGTTATATTTCGATCATATATAATAGTAAGTGCTCGTTTACTTACAAGTTGTGATGCAGTTGGTGGGGCACCCTGACATTGAAAAAAGCATAACGCCACACAGAAAAACAGTATATTTTTCAAATGCATGTTAATAAATAAAAAAAACTCCGTTTCCGAATATTGAATTATAAGTTTTGAAAATAAAAACTGTTTCGAAACTATTCGATAATAGGACTTATGAAGATTTTTTTAAATAATGTGAGTGTTATAATACTGATTGGTGACTGTGATTGAAATTTTATGAAATAGTGCAGTACGTTCTATAAGAAAACGTACTTTAGGAATGAACACAGTTTCAAGTTTGCCACTGTTGAATTATGGCATTCTCAGTAACAACAGATATTCAAGAACGTTTTTATTTGCGTTGTGTGTCATTTTTTATACACGCGCTCACTCTTTTAGAAGTACTTACTACATTTACTTTTATAACTATTTACTCAGGTGCAAAAAAATACATAATTTGTCAACGTTTTTTGATACCAATGATAAAATAGGGTAAGATGAAAAATCCGGGGTTTATAAAATATAATGTGAAGAATGCGATAAATACTACGTAGGTCAGACAAAACGAAATATTGGGGTTAGGGTTAAAGAACACACAAGGAACATTAGAAACCAAAAAGTACACAAATCTCCTGTTGCGGAACATTTATTGGATACTAATCACAGCATCAAAACTGTAAAATTACTAAAAAATGTAAATAACTCTAATATTAGGGAAACAAAAGGTCTTGTTGTAGTCAGTAGTGCATAGTTTGGGCGAATCGCACAAAGCTCAACCAAGACCATTTTCCTCTTTTTGAGGAGTTTTGTTAGGGGTTCTACTGTGTCGACATAACTATCAACGGTTTTTGATTCCTTCCGCGTTAACTAACTGCCCTAGGGAGGAGATTTCGGGGAACCCAAATTTTAGATTTTTTTAAATAAATTAATAGCCTGACATTATTTAAACATAATACAATAACTCGACTCTACGGTTATTTTTATTTAGCAGGATGAAATTTTGGTTACCCATCAAAAAAAAAAAAAATATCAATTCATGGATTTTAATATTTGTGGTTAACTTAAAACAATATGAAAATAAAATATATGAATGTATAACAATTTATCTATTATATAAAATATGGCGGTGGATAAGCAAGTAATACGTTTATAATATACAGGTATTTAATGCACTGGATATTATTATTATAACCGAAACACTAAAGTGGTGACCTCGACTGAAGATGGAATCCAACGCCAAGGGCAAAGAAACACTGAAAACAGAAAACAAGATCAACGCGATCGACATTAATCTACTACTATAGGTAGTGGTAAAAATTTAGTTAAAAATTGTTAGTACTTAGATCTGGACAATTTATATTCAGTGCTTTTTAATTATCATTTACATTATTATTACTTAAAATAAATTATATTTTTGACTATCAAAATCTTTATAAATAACAACATTTATAGATAGTAAGTAAACATGGACAGAGTGGTCAAACCTAACCAGTTCCTTTAAGTAGCAACTCTATAAATCACAAATTTCATCTAGTTGGTTCAATAGAGGGGGGGGGGGGTAAAGTTGAAAAAGTTTACTTCTTCATAGTTAAAATTTGAAAAAACAACAAAAAACCCATACGACTTTTAAAGATTGAACTTTTATTGGCTATAATTTCGAGAAAAAGAGTAATCTATATACAAGAATGGGGATTTTTTTTTATTTAGTAACAAGTGTTTGGTATCAGATATTATGGAAAATATAATACAAAATCGCATAAAGCGAATATTATATAAAAAAAAATTGTAATGTCGTTTAGAACTCAAGCGATTGGTTTTGTTTTTACATTAAATGTGTATTGATAGTGAATTGGCACCTGTGCACACGGGCTATTATAATAGTTTTACTTACTGTGGCAGTATTTTACAAATTTTACTTTAAGTTGTTACATTTAACATTATGGGTTGCATACACGAATAAAAATGTATATAATATCAAAACCAAAGGGTTTTTTTAAGTTATTGAGTAATTGTTCGCGTTGCCCTTGTACTAAATGTAAACATGAAATTCATTTTTGTTCATTTAACCAAGATTAAAAATCATAAGTCTCAAATTTAAAAAAAAAAAAAATTAAAGCCTAAAACTGGTACTTGAGTATCAAAACTTAATTGTGCCGTTCTGAATAGATGCCAATAAAAACGTTTTAATGATTCGATACATTTTTTTAAAAGATTTTCGTTGTTTTTGTTAAAATATAAAAAATCTGCGTAAAATGCAGTCTTCTACCAATTAAAGAAAAACTGTAGTCCTGAATTTTTATTTCGTTTAATATGTTATGGATGCATATGAGATCTAACTCCTGACAAATTTTCAACTCAAAGGTTCTAAAATTACGGCTAAATAACCAAAAAACCAAAAAACTTGAACCACCTCTGGGGAGGTGGGATATGGGTATAATTTAATTTTGAAACTATTGAAGTATGAGGGCATAAAAAAAAACCAGTACAGTGTAGTCGGGACATAGTGGGGACGGAGCATAGTTGGGTCGGGGCATAGTGGGGACGGAGCATAGTTGGGTCGGGGCATAGTGGTGACGGGGAGGTCACAGGTTTACAGGAATTTTTAAATCTGAAAGTGATAAAATCACTTTCGAAAAAACGCTTCGATGCAAATCGGTAGTTAGTATTTTCAAGCCAGTACAGTCCGAACCAAGCACAGTATAAACCAGCAAAGTTAGAAAGTTTTAAATGAAGGTTCTGTATTTACAAATGACCATCAAAGCGTTTATTTGTAAGCGATTTTATCCGAGAGGACTAGTACAGTAGAGTATTGGCATAATGTGATCAAAGCAATGAGGAAACGGCGAAAATATAATTTATTTTAAGTAATAATAATTTGAAAGCGCTGAATATAAACTGACACACTGACAACATCAACTGGAATACAACTGTTACTCCTTTCAACTTACAACACATGTTTTGTCCATTCCGAGTTATGCAAAGCCGGGAAAAAAAGTGTAAATGAAATTGAAAGTCTACAGTATGTTATAAGGCGTTTTGTAAATTACAATTTTTTTTAATTCTATCGCAAAATGATACTAGTTACGTTAAATAACATAACATTTTCCAGTACCGTGACGATGTTCCACTGATATGATTTATAGTATGAACTAAAAGAAAATTTAAAAAGTATTTCTTTATTAAACTAGAAACATCAAGGTCTCAAAAAAACTTCCAACAAAATATTAACGTTTTTTTCTTATAGTTCCATTATATTACAGTACAGCTATTATATTATTTATATTGTTACATATAAAAAAATACCGCTGTAATCGTTACAAATTCCGGTCAAACCTTTTTGATTTATTCGGACTACTGCACGACTCATGTATGTTAAAACTTGTTTGACGTAATAGTTTAAATAGTTTATAACGATTGAAATCGATAAAACGAGAACCAACAGAAAATAACAGTTTTTCTTTGAACATCGGAAATATCATTAACACATTTTCATGGCTTTTAATAATTTTTGCTAATATATTCAATCATATAAATGGCATAGTAACTAAAATTCGGTATGAATATTTAAAATCAATAGCGTGGTATACCAATGCATAAAATCGCACAAATTACACATGTATACTCAGGTGTTTCGCATGATGCCGATTGTTACCTGGCTGCTAAAAACACCTAGCAGTGTTATTTTCTTTAACTGAATACGTTATATTCAACTTTTATTTTTTTTTTATAATATTCAATAGTTATTAGTCATATATTCCACAAAAGGTTATTTTTTGTATCATTTTAAAAGCCGGCGGACATTGAACAAAATGGTAAAACATTATTTTTTAACAACTTTCTGTGTAAAAAAAAAAACCGTATTTTTAATTTCAATTTCCTTTGCGTTCCTTACAAAATGGTTTGCAAATAATACAACTATAGTGTACGATTATGTTCTTTACATAGTCAACGTGCACAAAGCCACTGTTTTCCAAAACTGTATAAGTTGTACTTAAAGGCGTCGTGGCCAATTTAATGGCGTTACCAATTTTTAGTAGTTTTTTTTTGGGTATCAGTTAAACCAATGATAAAAGTCATTGATTTCAGTATAGATTTTTTACCTTGACTCCCTAATGAGAAAAACTCTGAATAGGTTTTTTAATGCTAACGGGTCTAGGAGATTTTTGTGTTGTGGTATTTATTGGTACAGTAGTTTCAAAGGAAGCGGAGTTGTGAGGGTCATTTCACTAAAATTTAATTTTTCTCTAAATCTTCCAAAATTAATTTAGTAATCTATTCAGCAATTATTAAATACATTTAATAGGACTAAAAATTAATAAAATAAAATAAATAAATAAAAAACTTTTTTAAAAATATGCTTTTCTAAAAAAAAAAAAAGTAAAAAGTGAACTAAAAAGTAAAAAATAATTTTATTACAAGTACAATTTACAAATTGTAGCATATTTTATTGTAAAAGTCAATTACTTTGAAAACAACCGAAAATTAACTACAATTTTAAAGAATGTTAAACATCTTTAATTTTTGACTAAAAAGAAAAGCGTAGGCCATATTTAACAAAGTCCTTCATAAATTTATCAGATAATGTTTTATATTGTAAGTTCTTTTGTAATTTAAATTTAGTTTAATATTTGTGTGTGACACATACATTTCATAACACTTAACTCAATGAATTTGGACTTTGTTGAATAGGGCCCACGCTTTTCTTTTTAGTCAAAAATTATAGATGTTAAACATTATTTAATATTGGAGTTAATTTTCGGTTGTTTTCAAAGTAATTGACATTTAAAATAAAATATGCTACAATTGATTGATAAATTGTTCTTGTAATACAATTATTTTTTACTTTTTACTATTTTTTTTTTTTTAGAAAAGCATGTTTTTAAAAAAGTTTTTTTAATTTTTTTTTTTTTTTAATTGGTAGTTAGGTACTACTAATAATTTGCATTGATGTATTTTATTTATTTTCACGTTAAGCTTTTGAAGAAGGTGACAACTATGGCCGTACTGAAATCCCGGTATGTAATGTTGTTTTTTTATTTTATAACGCAATTTCTCTATCGGTCGTACGGTGACCAGACAAAAGAATTCGAGAAGTCGGTAAACACATTGTTAAGCATACAGAGTTTGGCTACCGGTTACCCGGTTATTCAAAAAGATCCATACGATCGTCAGAGTTTGAACAGCTGGTCCCTCGGAGATTTGCAGAGAAAAATAGACGAATTAAACAACCGACGGGAATGCGGATACCTTTACAGCACTCAGTTGCATTTGAAATTGACCAGAGACGTGATATTAATGAACGCCAATAAGGCTGTCGCGTCTGAGACGATCGAGGATTTTCAGTTCGAAAAAGAAGCGCTCCTGATGATCGATTCGTTGTTGGATCTGAAACCCGACCGGTTAGGCGACTTCTGGTTACTTTTCGAATACACCCTTAAGATGCGCACGTTCTTGTGGTATATCATCAGAGGCGGTACGTGGGCGGTGAAGGCTGAATATATTGACGAAAAATCAAAGAAGGACGGCCACGTGGAATTGATAATAAACAAACGCATCGACGACAACGGATGTGCACCCGACAACTATTTCAATATGGAATTCGATAAGTGTTTACGCTTGCCATTAGAAGACGAACGACCGGCTGGGCAAAACGAAGACGATTTTTCATTCCAAAACATAACAGCTCAATCGTCCAGTGAAACCAACGAAAGTGTGATGAACGCAATACGAAGGAACAAACAATTACTGCACGTAATCCTCGTCGAAAACCGGGCTAACCGACTACGGTGGTCCTCGACGACTGGCTCCTTGTGGCTATTTCGCGACGAGAGAGCATTTGATCTGTTTTTTGGCGAATTCTTGGCCGGCGATTCGGGCCTTCCTGTAGTACGGTTTCCGGGATTGGATTATGAAAAAAATTTGACAGGAATCGATTCACTCGGAGGCTGCCAGAATCGAGTAATCGCCACGTTGAAACTGATAATGTTGCAAATAACATTGTCGTATACGAATCGACTCGGCGAATCCGGCAACTTTTCAGCAGACCTTAAGAAGTTCAACGTTCAAATCATCGACCGGTTTCGGCGCTTAATGGTATTGAAAAAGGACGTGCATTTCAGAATACTCAACTACAAATTGTCATACCCTTACAAAAATGTTGAAAAATGTAAGTCATGTCTCGACGAATTTATTGTTTGGTCGATTGATACGATTACGACTAATTATGATTTACCCAAAAATATCAAAGCGGCAGTGACCTATAGTGTAATGTCCTTAGGCGACGTTTTTATAGTAGGCTTAAGTTTGGTCGAAAAAATTCAAAATGAGATTGGCGAAAATCCAATCAGGATGGTGCAATCGTTTTTGAATGAAATCCGCAAACATTAGTCATTTCCTGACCTCTATGTTAAGACTACAAGACATGCCACTAATGTTTCTTTTATTAAAACTTTATAACATGTAACATATTTTATATAATCTTAAAAAAAATAATTGTTCGTAGTACAATTAAGGCAATTTTGTTTTTTTTATAATACACCTTTTTATTGGTTTTTTTTTTGGTTGTGGGAATATTAAAAATAATAATAAATAATAATTATGTAAAATAATATCTAGCGTTCTAGTTAATATAAATCCGCCTAGAACCTTTATTTGATTAAACGTCACTAAAAAAAAACACTTTTCTTCAAATCAACAAGAAAATATGAAAACAAAATAATGACCTCAGCTGCACGGAAGTACATAGGAACATGGACATGTCTTAATATACAAGTATAGGACCTTGGTATTTTCTAATATCCAATGTTTTATCTCTAATGGGAATTATTTTACTCGGCCCTGGGAGACTGAATCTCGGGCAACGCCGGTCCGGACAGCTTGTTATTCTATAAAAATTAAAAAAATATTCGGTTCAGCCGGCATTCCATGTAGGCATTATTGATACACAAATGTTTTGAGCCCACGATGCTCAAGATAAGGCAAATATAACAAATCAATAACATGTTTTCTTTTGTATTAAAATGTCAATAAAAAATGAATCGATGAATTTGTTTGACAAAAAAACAACCTGTAGACGTAATGATTGTTATTTATTATTTTTACGTTCTTTTTTAACTTAGAACTATGACCATTTCGATTCTATTCGATTTACACTTAGACTTATAAGAAAAAGAAAAAAAAGCGTAATTCAATTAATGCTCCTGGGTACCGACCGTTTTATCTTATAGCAATCTGTATAATACATTTAGATAAGCATGTTTTTTTAGTAAAATAGAAGGAATAGAATTTTTTTCTATTTTCACTTTTTCAATCAAAGTTTTAGGGATTGAAGTTTGATAGGTAGATCTAATATGGGGATCTTGCATATACTATTTTCTCAAAAATACTTTGGTTAAACTTTTTTTCTATTAAGGAAACCCCCCAAAAGTCAATTCCCCGGTTGCTATGTATGAGTGAGTAAGCAGCCAATGGAAATATTTAATTATATTGTTAACAATTATACATAGGTTACTATAGCAATACATGTATATCAACCCTAATCGTATTCACCCTTAAACGAAAAATTAATTTTTAAGCAAACAAACTGTCTTTAGATGCAATGTTTTTTTTGATATTTGTATTTTTATCTGTGACCACTGGTCCTCTTTTACTTACTCACTCACTTACATATAATATTTTCATACTGTGCTTAGTTTTGACTGTACCGGTTCGAACGTGCTATCTTTATACTATATAGTATATAAGTACAGACAAGACAAGAACAGATAAGAGCGTGCGATCGTCCATCGTCATTTGTTCCCACGAGTTAGCCGAACTCAATAAACACAAAATTACAATTGAAAACACGATATCTAAATATATATATATATAGACGAACCAATAAGTCCACTGATCAACGGAATCGTGCAAAAGCCTACTTATTTTTTTACACAAACTGAAGTGTCTCCAATTACCAAAACTAAAATAATTACAGGTTTTAGTTGCAAATTTTAAGGTACTCGTATATTATTGTAAGGTGTATGTTTTACAACGATATGTTATTTTGTTTTCATTATCAATGAGCAAAAAGTAGTCAAAGTAAACGAATGTAGCCAAATAACTGCTGAAAACGTTTGGTACTTTTTCTGGGGGTCTAAAAAAGGTGGACTTTTTAAACTTAAATGCAAACTTATACGCTTGATTTTCTTTTTGAGTTAAGGATATTTTGCCGAAAATACAGATCAATCTTTAGCAATTGATATTTTGATTTTTTTTTTATGCTAATTACTAAAAGTAACGATAATTATGTAAAATATTGAAATTTGTCATAAACAGTCGAACAAACGGTGGCCTTAGTTGATATTTGTTTAAGTATACTTTTGATTTGAGTCTTCTTTTTTTTTTTGCGATTCAGCTGCTACGGCTGACGATGCACAAATACAAATTTATACGTTTTGGGACAAAATATATATTACAGGTAAATTGTGAAATGTAGTACGTACATTTTTTTTTATGTAACTTACTAAAAGTTGTAACAGTAAATCATTAAAAAGCTCTTTTTATCATAACTTAATACATAAAAAAATGGTAAAGGGAATAAATAAAAAAATTCAAAATTAGGGAAAAATCCAAAAAAATTCAAAATCGTCATTAGCGGTTACAATTTATTAATTTTTTTAAATATAATTTTATCATCTCCAGAAAATATTTATGTCAACTGATTGTATAACGATATGAACGCAGAACATTGTGGTGTCGCTTTAACAAGAATAAAATATTTCTAGTATGGATACCTATTGACTTCGAATAATAGTTTCTGAAAAACCCTTAGAGATTGAACTATCATTATTATCGTCAAACTGGTTAAATTTGATATGCCAATTTTCTATAACATCCTCACTCGCTATATTAATATAATATTAAATTATAATTTAAATTTTATGATAACTAGTACCGTCATTTGGGTAAAGGTGGAGTGCGCATAAATAGCTATCACCTAAAATTCTGGTGTCTGGCTGAGATTTAACTAAGTAGCAATTAAAACAACAAGCATCTGGTAGCAAAAATAATTGCAAAGTATTAAAATTAATCATTTGGGAGCAGGTTTAATCTTTAAATTGAATTTTCTCAAAAACATGATTCGTACTAATTGTATGCAATAATTATAGGCTAATTTTAAGTACATTATTGCCTTTACAGTGCTTTTATCAATTTCATATTCAATCAATATCATATCATATTTCTACTAAATAAAATATACTATCGGCGGCAATGTCACATTAACAGTTTTATGCCTTTTTTTATGAAAATTATTTTATCAACCACCAATTGTTTTCGTCTTAACTTCTTCCGTTTATCTTTCATTTAATTCTAATTATTTTCATTACAATTTTTGCTGTTTAAATATTTTCTTAAAACACTATGGACATTTTTAAATCAACAGTATTCGCTTCGTTTGATTGTCAAACCGCAAAAAACTTCATCACACATCCTGATTCAACACACAGTGATAGTTTTTATAAATTGTTTTTCCAATATGTACTGTTTTTTTTTAATTAGTACAACTTAGTACATTTTTAAGACACGCGGTTCTAACTACTGGCATTTGGAATAACATGAAAAGACTTTCGAGATTGATTATAGCTATAGCAAAGTTTTTACTTATTAAAAAAAAAAGTTGTATTTACTTAGTATACCATACGTTTTTTCTAAAATAGGGCACATAAAATTTACTTAAAAATCTGTAGTGAAGCTTTGTTTTATTAAGGAAAAACCAAACTAAAGAGGGGAATTACGATGTTACGGTAGTAGGTTTGTAGGTTGCAATGAGTAAGGGTGAATCAACAGTCAACAGCTGGTATCTGAAATATATTTGCATTATGGTGTAGGTTTTTTTTTTGTCTGTATAGACTGTTACTTTTTTAGGGAGCAAAGTTTTTTGTGTTTTTCGCCGTAATTATAAGACCTATTAGTTGAAAACATTTTTCAGGGGTCAGAACTCATAATATTATGTATCCATAACATATTAGACGAATAAAAAAATTCGGGAGTACATATTTTTAGAGTACTGTTTTTCGCAGATGTTAAATGTTTAAAAAAAATTATCAAATCATGCCAATATTTTAACGGATACGATTTAGAGTGGTCTCGGTAAGTTTTTAATGCCCAAGCATAAGTTTTAGGTTTTAATGACATTTTTTTAAAAGTGATTTTATCACATTCAGTCAGTTCGGTCCAACTTAAGTCCCGACCCCAATTTCAATGGCTTTTTTCCTTGTGAATATCCGTCGATAGCCATACTTAAGGTGAGGTTACTATTTGTTTTACGGACTATTACAGGCAGTAGTCGTACAATAATACAATATCTATGTGCGCAAATGGTATGTTAATAATTTATCCGATTCAATAACATTTTCAAGTTTCGACGATTTGCTATGACCTTTGGATTTTCAACGTGTAAAAAGTAACACAAAGATGTTCAAAAGAAAACAAAAAAAAATGGAAATTCAAACATTGACAATTTTATACATTGTTTTTGTCGTTAGATTGACGTTTTTTTCTGCCTAAAATGTATGAATATTTGTCGATGGGAAAAAAAATGTACTCAGACATTCTCATGTGTGCACAAATGCCGAAATTTTATGTTTTTTTGAAAATATTGGATAAGGCTTAGGTATCGATATTTTTTTCCTACACATCTTGTATGGTGTTTGTTTGACCTTTCATTGGCTTAATTTTCAGTTCTTAAATCTTCAAATTACGCTAAACAAAATATTAAAAACTTTCAGCCTTTCTCCCGGTGGGTTGTCGAAATTTCGGGTTTTTCCATGTGCAATTTTGTTGATAAAACTTTTTATATAGCAATCGCTAAAGTTATTATAATAAATCGAAAATATTTTCGAAAATCATACAATTTCGGCACTTGTGCACACATGAGAATGTTTTAGTACAATTTTTTTCCGTTGAATAACAAGTTGTAACCAAGTGTTTCCCAGATTTTGATTATGCTTTCAATCTAGGTAGTCCATAAGATTTACTTTTACTTGAAACTTATAAAAGCATTACTTTAATCGGTTTATAAATACTTATCATTAAGCTTTACTTTTAAAAGTATAACTTAAGATAAGTTTTAAAAACCAACTATGAATACGGCCCTAATTATCAGTAATCTATGTACTTTTATTAATAATTATGCGCTTATATTATCATTTCCCCTGTGATTTCTTCCATTAAATCTTATCTCATCCGCCTACTAAACATTTTTGAACATACCGGCACTTCCTAAATCTACACTTGGAACCCGGTGGTTAAGCAATTTGTATATATATATATATATATTTGTTTACTAGTATATAAAATTTATATAATTTTTGAAAAGTTAGATAACCAAATAGATGTAAATTAATTACCAAATTACCAAAATTTGTGTCTTTGTTATTTCGTATTCCCGTGTATGGCAGTGTAGCAGTGTTCTTTGTTCTTATTACGTTTGTCACGTGGTTTATTATAAAGTGTAATTGTACACCTAA